GCTAAACAATATGCTAATAGACAATCAAATGGGTCACTGAAGAAATTAAAGAAGAAATCAAAAAATAACTGGAGACAAATAAAAATGAAAAAATCCAAAATCTTTGGGATGTAGCAAAAGCAGTTTTAAGAGGGAGGTTAATGGCAGTATAAGCTTATCTCAGGGAACAAGAAAAAATCTCAAACAACCTAAACTTACATCTAAAGGATCTAGAAAAAGATGAACAACAACAACAAAGACTCAAAGATAGTAGAAGGAAAGAAATAATAAAGATCAGAGCAGAAATGAATGAAATGGAGATTTTTAAAAAATAGAAAAGGTCAATGAAGCTAATAGCTAGTTCTCTGAGAAGACAAGCAAAATGGGTAAGTCTTTCGCCAGACTCACAAAGAAAAATAGAGCGGCCCCAAATAAAATCAGAAATGAAGCAGAAGTTAAAGCTGACACCACAGAAATACAAAAGATCATTAGATTACTACAAACAATTATATGTCAATAAAGTGGACAACCTAGAATGAATGGATAGAATCCTATATAGATACAATCTCCCAAGACCGAATCAGAAAGAAATGGAAAATATGAACATAAAAATACCAGTAATGAAATTGAATCAGTAATAAAACAAACAAACAAACTTCCCCAAAAACAAAAAAAAAGTCCAGGACTAGACAGCTTCACAGGTGAATTCCATCAAACATTTCAAGAAGAGGTAGCACCTATCCTCAAACTATTCCAACAAACTGAAGAGGAAGAAACATGTTCAAATACAGTTTACAAGGCAAGAATCTGCCTGATATCAAAACCAGACAAAGACACCACAGAAAAGGAAAATTACACTAATGACCATAGATGTAAAAATCCTCAACAAAATATTAGCAAACCAAATTCAACAGTGTATTAAAATGATCATACAGCATGATCAAGTGGATTTTAACCCAAGGATACAAGGATAGTTCAATATCTGCAAATCAATCAATATGATACACTATGTTAGCAAACTGAAGAATAAAAATCATGATCATCTCAATAGAGGGAGAAAAAGGTTTTGACAAAATTCAACATCCATTTATGGTAAGAACTTTGCAAAAAGTAGTCATAGAAGGAACATACCTCAACATAAAGGCCATGCGTGACAAGCCCACAGCTAACATTATACTCAACAGTGAAAAGCTGAGATCTTTTCAAAAATTTTGACACATTGAAATTGTTGTTAGTTCCAGTTATTACCAGAGAGAACCACTAGGGGTCAGAGAAATCCCCTGTCCAGGATTCACTTGTGTCCTGTCTATACAGCAGACACCCCATTGCCCCTGAAAAGCACTCAGTCTCGTGGCCCATATTCTCTAGATTTATCTAAGAGCACATTTGTTTCTTCTGCGAGCTCATAGAGTTGACTAATGCCCTTTACTGCTTCAGTTGAATTTTGCAAGTTTTTGATTCACTCAGGTTGTTTAAATGTCTTTCTATCTGGCTAGAAAAGCACCTTGGTTTCATTCCATTGGATCCCTCATATCAAAATGTAATGCTTTCATAAGTTCTCTGAAGCTTGATGGAATTCAACATTGTTTTCATACTGTGTGAATCTAACAGGGCCAAAAACCAAGAGAGGTAAAAATAACATCCAAAAGCCAGACTTTTATAACCACGTTCTTTATATACTGTACATTTTTTTCCCTCTTAGAATGGCTTTTCATTGACTAAATTTGTTTTAGTTATTTGTGTTCATTAGTTTTGTGTATGTGTGTGTGTGTGCGCGCACGCATGTGTATGTTTTGGCCAAAATGCTGTTAGCCAAAGCAATCCTTTAACTGGTCCATGTAGCCTAAAATGCACAATTTTTTTTAAAGTATTTGCTTTCTAGTAACAAAGGCCATCTTCTACTTTCCCCATCACAGATATGCAATCAGCCCATTTTTCTAAGCCCCATTTCCTTTCAGTGGAAATTGATATTAGAGACCAAACTGTGAGCACTAGAAGTGCTTATTTGACTTTGTGCTCCTAGGACGATGTGACCTATAGGCCATTTTGGTGGATAGAGATGGAAAAAAAATATCTATTTACCCATTTATCTATCTATCTGCACATACGTATAGACACACATATGTAATAGGTTCACAGCAATTTTCAATTTAGTCCTAATTTAGCCCACAACCATATTTAAATTCTTAACGTTATATTCAAGCTATAACTGTATCTTCTTTTGTTTTATAATAAGTGACTCGTACAGTTGTCACTGTGAAGCTCTTGATGCAAAGCTAATAGAATCACTGATTTATTTTACTTGCCAATACAAGAAACAGATCCAAAATAGTGATACCAGTGTTAATAGTAATTATTAAACTCTTAGATGAAATTCAAGTTTCTGTTTGTTCTTGCCTTTGTCCTTAGAGTGAGCCAAAGGATATAGAGTGAAATTTCTTTGGTCTAGAGAGCTCTGAAGTAACTTTCTCTGTTAGTGAAGTTCTGTCCAAATGTTTCCATTCATTTTCAGTTTACAGGGGTCAGCATTTGACAGTTCTGAGTTATTCCTGTTTTAGTTTCTGCTGTCTACTTTGGGCTGTATTCAGCCACTGGCAAAAGGATAAGTCAGTTTCATCGCTTCACATCATGACAGTAAATAGAAAAACCTCAGCAGTTCCACCTTCTGTGTACTGAACAGGAATTTCATTTAGTCGCTGTCTGGCTCACCTACAATGGCTCCGTGCACAGCTATATGTGTGAGATTTATGTCTGCGCATTCTGGCTAAATGCAGACAAACACATTCTGACTTCTCCTATTCAATTCTCTTAATGTGTTTAGAATCTACAGTTTCACGTCTCCAATTAAATTTTTATTGTACTAAATTCTATCCTAGTATGAGATCTTTTTAGTGATCTTTTTCCCCCACCCCCCATCAGCTTCAAAAATTTCTTTTCTCTATTCTATTGTCATATCAAAATACAGGTCTAAATAATTATTTAGTTTTACAGTACGTGTAAACCAGGATAATTTTCCGTGTTGCTGTTTTCTAAACACAGCACCAGCTATTCAGACATCTTAACCTTCAGGGAAAAAGACTTTTTTTTATTACATTAGAACATATTAGAATGGCCTATGGTTGGCAAAGGAGAATACACATCAATGCAGGTTTTTCAGATTTTGTCAGAAATATTCTTTTAACTCAGAAGCTCATAATTGTGACCTTATTTCTCTACACATAACATTCTTCTATTATCAATATTAGGTGCAAACAGCTCAGTTGCTTCCCAAATCTTCAGCTGCTTTTGGATAAATACAACCAAGTAAGATATAATTCCGTTCTAGAGTCAAAGAATGATTTTGAATGTTATACATTACACTTTAAAGCTTGATCCACAGGAGACTTCTGATTCTGTTTCTGATGTCACATGATCGATCCACTGGTGGCAGACGCAGGGAAGCCTTGGTGAAGGGAATTGCAGGGAAGGACGAGCCTCTCACGGGTGGGCAGCCAGCCGTGCAGCCCGCATTCCCCGGGCCAGGCGCCGAGCTGGGTGCCGGGGAACTCCTGCGGGTGAGCAGGACAGAGCCAAGCTTTTAGTGACCTGCACGCTGGCAGCCAGACTGGAATCTGGAAGAGCCCCAGATAAAAAATAAACAAATCACTCGGCCCTACCGTGGCCCCCTTATCCCCAGAATTGGTGCTGAGAAAGCGGCAGAAGGGTAGCCCTGGGAAGCACATAGGCTTTCTCGAACTTTCCCAGCATGGTTGATGCCAGGGCCCTGCTGGCGTAGAAGCCAGCCGCGAACGGATGCTGACTCTGTGCTCCAGCCCCCTTCCAGCCCCAGTGCTGACAAGATCAAACCCTTGGGCCCCTTGACGGTGATGGCCCAGAAGTTTGAGGCTTGGGCTGCCCAGAGGGGAGCTCGGTCTAATTCCTGCTCAGCTGACTCTCCGTGGGCTCCTAACTGTCAGCCCCATGAAGTAAACACAAGACAGGAAAATGCTTGCTCTCTCTGGGAAAGAGAAAAAAAAATAACCTTTAGATTTCAGGAGAAACAATTTCTGGAAGACCCTCGTTTTGCAATTGTAGCACATTTCCTTTAACTTTAGCCCCAGGCTTACATTGCATTTACCTCCAGTCTTTGATCCTTATCTTTGATGCAGAAATCCAACTCCTTACATGAAACAAAAATGTCCTACGCCTGAAATTCCCAACTTGGCATTCATTGGCATCTGCATGAATGGGACTCCCACAGATCTACCACAGATACGTTGTTTAAGAAAATACTTAAATGCAAATGTTAAATTTCCCCCCTCCTATTATGCTATCTATTTTGACCACCTTTTTGAACTAGAAGATATTTTACATAGAAGTTCCCAAATTAAAAGTAATCTTTTAAAAAAGAAATTATTAGCGTGAGAAGAGGTGGGAGGGGGTGACCATCCTCCCTTTTGGGGCTGCCCTAAAACTGAGACTTAGTTTGAATTCAAAACTGTTCCCCCTCTCACTCTAAGCTGCAGTCTTTGGAAAATTAAACCGGTTATGTCTGTTTTGTTGTTTATAAAGTTCTCTTTAGCTCCAGAGATAACGTTTCTTCTTGTGTCTAAGCCTATCC